TCTATATAATTTATTTAAAAATAGTTTTATATTTTAGATTTATTAAAAATAAGTCAACTTTATAATAAATTTTAAAAGCTTCAATATTATATTTTTGAGTTTTGGATTATAGGATTGGGTTTTAGATTATAATTTCAGATTTCGGGTTTTGGAGTTTTAATTTTTTTTAAAAAATTTAAAATAGATTGGATTAGAACTCTTTCAAAACTAGTTTTGGGTAGGTTTCATTTTGATACCATCTTTGATTTGATCCATCATCAAATCTTGCAATAATGATCACCCTGTTTTATAAGTATTAATTAATATAACTTAGTATAATAAATTAATAAATAATTCTAAGTTCAATTTTTATTAGATTTGGGATCAAGTGACATCTATTTGATACTGTAGTTGTAACTAATTATTCTATATAACAAATTAGTACTGACTAAATATTTTTATATAAATAAATTAGCAGGAGTTGTAACTCTGAAAGAGACTTGGCTAACATGAGATAAAATTAGACCACATAAAGCTAATTTTCATTTTGTATTATATGGATTTCAAAATTCATGTTGGTTAGTTAGATTTTTTTTTATTTCTTTTTTATTTGACTTATGTTCACATTTAAGGTTATGCAAAGTTACTTTCACTTTGAATAATATAAAATCAGAAATTAGATTGGCAGTTTAAATACATACTCAATTGCTAGTTCAAATATATACTTTCCTTCACAAATACACCTTTTCTTATTATTTTCTATATACATATTATTAAAGTGTAGTTTCAAGAATATGCACTAGAGAGGTTTAACAGTATATAAATAAAATATTACTTTTATTTATATAAGTAATTATTTTTGAATCTGAACTAATTTTATATTGTAATAACATTTTGTCTGGATTCAAAATTAATTACTATATACAAATTGGTTCGTAGCTCTTCAAATTGTCATAAGGCTATTTAAAGTTAATTATTAAATTAATGTTATTTCCAGATAGCTGTCCCTAAAATTAAACAAGTCAATTACAAAACAAAACACTTTAATAATTATGTGATTAAAATTAACTAATAATATTTTCTGTAGCTGTTAATAATATTTTAAAAAGTTTTTCAATCATTATTTTTGTGTTTTTTTTTTTTTTTGGTGTTAAGGTGAAGTCTTGCTTATATCTTTATTGGGTAATTTATACAAGTAGTTATATATATATATATATAACTTATTTTGTATAGTAACAAAAAATATAAACTATATACAAGAATAGAAGCTCAGACTAAAACTTGTCCAGGGCTAAGTTAATTATCTGTAACCTAAACCTACTAGAATAGTCAAGACTTACTTAGATTTTAATAGTTAGTATATGGTTTGTATATATACTAAATTGAATCTATACTATGAACCATTGGTTAAATTTTAGCTATGCTAATCTCTTGGATGAGCAGATGCCATTGTCTTCATATAGTTAATTAGCTATTCACAGAGGCAGTTGTAAGTAAGTTTTCTTTAGTGATACTTGGTATACTTGTGAACTTGTATATATATTAGTGTAGCTCTATTTTGGGTAATACATTGTTCTGCTTTTTCTATTTTGCAAATTTGTTATAGTAAAGTTTCTAGATTTGCTTGTAAATCTCCATAGATGTGAGAAGTAGTATTTGTACAATAATATTGGCTGGCTCTTTGTATTGTAGATTAAGTAGCTAAAGAAATTTAAGTAGTTGAACTGAAATAAGAATTTTGAGGGTAGCAGATAACTAGTGTGTATATGGAGAAAGAGTAGATGAGTAATTAAAAGAAAGAAATGACTTGATAAGCTTTGTCACTATACTAAGTTAGAATAGGGTTGAGTTGTTGAAATATTTACTAACTATTTTGGTAGAGAAAGCATCTATAATTTGTTTGGGAGTAAGTAAACTTTGATAGTTGATTTAGTAATTTGGTGTGTCTGGAGTGCTGCAAGAGAAGCAAATATTAGTCTGGTAGATTTTTAGGGTGATGTAGTGAAAGAAAGTGTGTAGGCAGATCATTAAGCAGGTATTTGATTTAGAATACTTTTATTTAGTTTGGTTTAGATAATGTGATATTGGATGTAGTTTTTTGGTTATTATTAAGATAAAGTTTTAATCAATTGTTTGGATGTGGTTTTCTTGTTCTGTATTGCACTTTTGTGATGATCACAATGCTATTGTATATGCTTTGCAGATATTTTTGACAAATAGTCTTGTTGGTTTTTCAATGTTGTATTTTTTCTATTAAATTATATAGTGTAAGTTGTGTATATTGGTGTGGTTAAATGAGAAGGTAGGTGTTGATAGTTGTTGATGTTTTTTGGCTAAAGTATTAGCCATGTTGTTAAATCAGTCATTTGAGTATGCTTGAACTTTGTGTAGAGTGAGCTGAATATTAAATGCCCTGATAGTATTAAGAAGTATATGCTAGATAGGCTAGTAATTAAATTTGAAATATTTGGAAGATTTAGAAGAAGTATGTAGTAGCTTGTAGTATTTAGTTATAATAGATTGGAAATTTGTAAATATATTAACTTCAGCATTGTGAGGCACTATAGCAATAGCTGATAAGATTGCTAATAACTCTGTATAATAAGAGCCAGTTAGAGATTTTGGCTATAAAGCTATTGCTAATTTGGTTATAACTTATCTAAACCCAGTTTACTTCTATTAAGCAATTGCTAGTACCTATGTCTAATACTAAGCCATCTGTATAGAATATAAATATATATATATTAGCATTACTAAAAGTGAGCTGTGTTAGTGTTTGGCATACTTTATTGTTATAGAAAAGAGTTAGAGCTAAAGAATCTATAGTATTAATATTGGGTAAGAGTAGGATTGTGATGGGATATTTAATTGCTATGGAGTACAAAAGATCTACATAGTTAGTATTAAGTTTGAGTTCTTTGTAAGTTGTTCTTCTCCCAAGAAATTGTATAAATAAGATGGTAGAAACTTCAAATATGCAGTAGCTTACTAGATACTTGAAGTTAAGGTTGCAGCTAGGCTATGAGTTGTATGTAATAGGAGGTAGTAGATATAGCAAGTAATGCCTTATATCTATATTGTGTTGCCAATATATGATAGAGACTATATTAGTTTGCTTAAAGTTACTTTTTATTTGTTCTATAATAATTTCATCTTGTAGATAGGTAAGTATCCATGGCTTCAGTCTTTTGCTAAGCTTTTTAAAAACTAGTAAAGTGTTGTTTATGCACTTTAGCTTGAAGAGCTGGATATTGTTTTCTTTAAAAGTGTAGTCTCATTGCTTGATCCTCTTTTCTAAAAGACTATAGAAGATTGGCTAGTACTAAGTAGTTTTTCTTTTCTGGTGTATTGTATTTTGTGCTCTGTATATAAAAGTCTACTCTACTCTGTTTATTACTTTTCCAAACAGCTTTACAAAGGATTGTAGTAGTTTTTCTACTAGTTCATTCTTCCACTTAAGCCTAAAATTATAGCCTTAATTAAATATATTAATAAAGAAAAATTTTAAAATAATATATATAAAAATTAATAAATAATTTACTTACCTTTGAAAATAAACTCTATATGATTTAATAATATATTCAAATATTCTTTTCCTTTTTTTGAAGGAACAATTGTTTTTAAAGCTTTGCCTAAACCTTTTGCTTAAGCCAAATCTAAATCAACAACAATACAACCTAATCCAGTATTATGAATATGTTGAAATTGAAGTTTTTAAGATGTTAATATTTCAATATAATTAAGAAATAAAATAAACATTTTCTTATATGTTTCAGCATTAGTTATAGTAATAAAAATTCTATATAAACATAATGCTAATTCAAAAAAATAATTAATAATTAATAATAAAGTTAATAAAAATAAAAATTAATAAATAAACTTAATAAAATAATATAATATTACTTGTTGAATATTTTTGATCATAAACATTAAATTCTAACTTATTAATAGCTTTATTTGCAAGTCTTTTAAAAAAAAGATCTACTTGAAATAATTATAATCAAAAACTTTTTTTGTTTGAATTTTTATTATACATAAAATATTTAAATGATCACTTGAAAGAAATGCTAAAAATTATTTATTAGTAAATAATATTAAAAATTAAAATATAATTTTATACTTACATATTTTTTAATATAATCTTGAAAATTGTTTGTATTTTTTTAAAAGTTATAAACAACATCAAGTATATTTTAACCAAATAGATATATTTGGTGTTGTGCTTTTTGTACAAGTTTTCTTATTTTGTTAATATTATTTAAAAAAATATATACTTCAGATAAAAATTGTTCTCCAAAAAAAGAAAAATAATATTTCCTAATATAATATAATTTAATAAATTATTAATTTTTTAAAAAATAAATTTAAATATATTAATAACAAATAATTAATAACTAACTTAAACAAATATTTTTAATACTAATATCTGTTGATTTTTCAGTTTCTTGTTTAATTAATTTTTTTAAGATTGATTAAATATGTAATAGAATTTTACCAGATGGAGGTGAATAATGATTATAAACTTCTTTACAATATAATATAATAAAAGAACATGATTTTAAATCATGTAGTTCATATTTAATAAATTTTACTTCACATTCTAGCCTTTTTAATTTTAATTTTGTTGCTTTATGTTGATAAATATATTCATAAACTTAACAAATAAATAAAGTTAAATTAATATAATAAATTATAAATTTAAATAATTAATAAATAAAAATTAAAATTAAAATTATTTATACAATATTGATTTTTAGTTGAAGAAACAGAAAAAATAGTTTTGCATGTTAAATCATTCTAAAATAAAAATTAATAATTTAAAATATTTATTATAAAATATTATTTTTTTTATTTATCTCATATGTTGATACTATTCCATTATTTTCAAATAAATCTTTTAATAATTCAATATTACATCCTGGTTTAATTTTTTGTACTCTATGATTTTTTTCACCTGGATGCTATTTATCACAACCAATAAAAGGTTTTATAATTTCTATTTCACCTTTTGAAGAAGTTTTTTAAATATTATATTCATTATTAAAAGTATTTTCATTTTGATTTTCATCTCTTAAGATATTATAATATTGAATAAATAGTTTTTCTTGGCATGTATAATTATTATAAGGACAATTTGCTTTAATTGTTGCAAGATATTCTCTATAAATAAAATAAATTAATAAATAAAACATTATAATTAAACTTTTAAAAATAATAAATAAAATTTAAATTTTATTACCCAATTGTATTAATTTTAATTTGATTTTCTTCATTCAAATTATTATTTTTATAAAGAATTAAATCTGTATTAGGATTAACATTATAATATGGAGTTTTTACTATATCCATATTAGCTATTTCACAAATTCTTCTACAAGTTTTTATAGTTTCATAACAATCTACTCCTAAAAAAGGACAAAATACTTTGCTATGCAATTTTTTAGATTCACCTAATAAATATTGAATCTAATATCAAAATATAAAATTTTAGTTAAAATTATTATTTAATTTAAATAAAAGAATAAAAT